AGGGCGCATGCGTCATCTTTGCCCAGGGAAATGCCACCTACGCTTGTAGACCTGCTCAGAGGCCACCTCCCACACCAGGAGAGTGCCCAGTTCTTGTCGTCGTGGCTGGGATGCACCCTGCCTGGCGCTGGAGAGAAGCTCCACCGCTCTTCCCTCCTGCTGTCCGTCCCTTAGTTGAAGGAATGATCCAAACGACGTATTTGTGTTAACTTAGAGAATGAGGAAAAAGAGAAAGGAAAATGTCATTTTCATGTGTGTAAGAAATGTTAGGGTTCCCAGCTCTTTGAGGCCTCTCTCATGTGTAGAAATCACATTAGAGACGTATGTGTAGAACAAAGGAGGAAAGAAATGAGGACCAAAAAGAATTCAGTGTTTTCCCTCCTCAAAGTTGCCAAATCTACACAGTCTGGAACTAAGTGTCCCAGCCTAGGAATTCTGAGCTGCGGTTGTCAGTGCCTTGCCTGCTGGTTGTGGCTTGCTCAGTAAAAGTATTCTTTCAACATGGGTACTTAAATTTTTTTTGGTTTGGTTTGGTAATTTTTTTAGTTCCTTAAAAGGTTCTATGTTGCTGGGTAGGAAAAGGGGAGCCATCTGGGACACTGCAGAGCTAGTTTAAGTGAGGAGTACACGGTGGCGTCCTTCACCTCTCAGGTCGGGGCCATGTCACTGACAGCAAGTCTCTTTATTGTCCAGGCAGGTCAGCAAGACCTGAGAGCCCAGGCAACAGCACTTTCGTGGAAACGGTATTACTGACCTGCTTCTTCCTACACAAGATCTATTTTAATCTGACCAGCCCTCCATGCCAGCTGAGGCCTGTCCTCAGACGGAGAAGGCCGCGGCCCCCACATCAGTGGAGAAGTCTGAGAGAGAAGCCCCCTGGCTCCGTGGGGCTTGTCTGCCCTCATCTGACTGTAGTCCTCTCTGCCCTTGGCTTCTCCTTCAACCGAATCCCAGTGAAAAGGATGAGCGCCCAGATAGGGAATATTTATAGCCTGTTCGGAAGCATTATTTCTGGGCCAGCTTACAAGCCTGTTCCCTCCTCTGCCACTTCATCTCTGTGCATTTGGCCTAACTTACCAAGCATCCACTGGAACCCAGACTCCACGAAACAGGCACACGGGGCCACAGTCACTTAGTGCAGCGGGAGAAGTGCCACGGAGCCGCGTTTAGGCGGAGTCCAGGGCAAAGTGGGAAAGTGCGCCTGGAAGGGGCACAGGCTGCTGGTGGCTGGCCCTAAGGGGCTCCCTGCAAGTGCGAACTGGCTTGGCAGGTGTCTGGGAGCTTGGGAGCTCAGACTTGGGTTTTGTAAAGGTAGGTAGGGCAGAGGGGGTCAGAAGGAGGAGAGGACCCGGCTCTGGAAATTGGGCCGGTGGGAGGAGGAGGCAGGGGCAGGGAGGGGGAGCGGGCAGGACCGGCAACTGGGTGCACATCAGGCACCAGGAAGCGCGGCACAGGGACGCATCTGTAGGGGCGCAGCATTCCAGCTCCACTCAGTCCTGTAGATGGGAGCGCCCTGCCTCTGAGCTGTGGCATGCTACAGGGGCAGTCAGTGCACTTGGGATGTCAGCAGGATTCCCCAGAATCCAGGGAACTGGGAACAGTGGCAACTGTTGGCACAAGGGTCCTGAAATTCAGGAAGGAGGACAGGCTAGGGGTTGTTGGCCTCTGAAGAGAGAGAAGTGGATAAACCCATTCTGGGCTCTCCTGTAGAGCAGTATTTTTTTTTTTTTTCGAACTTCTTTTAGCAGAACCTTTTGTGGCCCCTCCGTAAAAGGAATCTTTTTCACTTGTAACCCTGTGAGCAGATGAAAGCAAGGGTCTGAGGCCCAAAGCCCCTCTCAGAGGACATCTCAGGTGCTGGCAGAAGTGGAACAGAGAAATGTACACAGCCACTGGCTCTCTAACAGCCGGCGGGCTGGCTAGTGCTGTCGAGGCCGTAAGGGACAAGCGCGTCTGCGGCCCCTATACAGGTTTCTTGAAGGGCATTTTGTCAGCCCGTCAAAAATTTGAATGTACCTAACCTTTAACCTAGAAACTCACTTCTGAGAAATCATCTTACCAAGATAACTTGCACAGGTACTTGGGGATGTAGGTACAAAACCTTCATTGCCATTGCAATTACAAATGGTAAGTTGCGAACATCCAAATGGCCAACAGTAGCCAAAGAATTTTAGCTGATTCACCATATGTGGGTTCACATGGAAAGACATCCGAGGTGCAACTTCAGTGAAAAAAGCAAGAATGGTCACATTGTTGTCAAAGCGAATAACAAAGAAGTACATGTGTGTTTGTAACTGTGTATTTCGAAGCGGTCTGAAATGTATATACCACATGTTAACGGGTTTCTCTGGGATGTGTCTTAGAGGGATCTTCCTTTTCTAAGCCTCGGTGTCTGCTGCTTTTAAGTTTTTCCCTCAAGCACCTATTACGGTCACAGGAAAAGCAACAACCCCCTCCCCCCCCCACTGTTTTAGAAAGATGCCGGTCACTGAAGTTAGCGTGGAAAGAGGGAGGGAAGGAGGGAGGGCAGGACTGGTCCCAGCGTGGGTCAGCCAGGACAGTGGGGACGCAGGACTGAGGGTCACAGAAACTCTGAGAAGGAAGAAATGGGGAACAGAGGCCTGCATGGTCTCAAGTTTGGGAGGAGGTTGGCTTCAGGAACCTGGTGGGTTCCTTTTGCTTCTAAGTTCCTGGTGGACACTTGCCCAGTTGAGGCGAGCTGGCATCTTCAAGTCCCAAGGCGCCCGTAGTAAAAATTGGAGCTGCGGCCGTATTTAGCACCCGAACAAGGCATCGTCTTAAACCTGCCCACCTAATAACCCTGTGAAGTTTGCCCTGGTCTGGTGCCAGGAGCACTGAATGTGTGTGCCCACGGGATGCTTAGTGTCACCTAGTATGTGCACAGGAGTCGGAGAAGAAGTGGCCGGTCAAGCAAGCCAGAACAGCAGTATTTTTGTCCATCTTTCAGAAACTCTTATAAGCAGGACCAAAGTGCCCTAACCTGGCCCTTGTTTGTATGATTTTCGTGCCTGTCGACCTTGGCCTAGTCTCATGTTTTTTTTTTCTTCTAAAGTTGGCTGATGACTAACATTGAACACAAAGCAGGCCCGTTTGGAGCTTTCTGCTTTTATTCACACACTATTTGGGCCTGGCTCATTTCTTTTGGCTTGAGCATTTCACAGTCATCCCGGTCTAGCAGGTTCCCGCTTGGTTCGAGCCGGTTCCTGAATAGAGAGTTCTCCTCGCTCCAGGAGTTCCACGTTATTTACCTTCACCAACTAGGGCAGGCGGAGAAGCTTGCCGAGAGGGCCTTGCTGGGGGCCACATGGCCCCCTTTCCCTGTAGCTTCCCTCCAGGCAAGCCTTTATGTGGCTCCTTTGCTGAGAGTTCATGGAGCGAAGAATGGACAACCTTGAGATGCGGGGGATTTTCAAAAGCGAACACCCTAAGCATGGCCCACTTTTTCCTTCAGAACTCAGTCTTCTTCGGGGCCGGGTCATGCTTGCTCCCATAACTGGATGTTCGTAACTTCCTTCCAATTTCTTATTTTATGTATTTTCGTTTGCTTGCTTTTACTGTGTCCTTTCAGGTTGGTGTGAATCAGTGTTCTTAAAACTATAGTTCAATTTCAGAGCTCCCTTGGGACTTGTGTTCGTATGATGTGTTAACGCATATGCCATGCAAGTATAACGATTTCAGAAACCCAGATGGTTTCCCTCCAAAGTTGTAGATTCGAGCCGACATCTCAAATCGTTAAAATAAAAGATGCCCCCTGTCTGCTCCCTTCTAAAGAATTCGCAGTTCTCATAAATACCAATTACTCCTCTCTAGAAACCGGGGCAAGGGATTGCATTCATTGGATATTTAAAGTGAGGGCATCAAATGACAACAAGAAATGTTTGGCTGGTTAACATTCCCTAGAATGAGTGATTCTCCAGCTCTTGCCTCTGAGTTAGCGCAGGGAGCAGGGCCCGTCTCATTTGCCAAGTGATTGCCGGGGAAGATGGATGTTCTGTCTGCGTAAGCAGAGAAATGATGAAGAAAGAACATGAATTAGCACCATCTGGGTTGATACTCCCCATCAGGAATGGACGTTTATTTCAAAAAATAAGTGATCGTTGACAGTTCTCCCCTCCCCACCCCACGCCTCAATGGATGACTTTTAGAAAAGCCTACTGAATTGGCTCTTCGTTTTAGTCCCAGCTGTTTGTTTGCAAAAGCTCCCCCACTTGCTAACTTGTAAAAAATGTATAGGAGCAACTGACAAGCTGTTTCTTTGATCTTCGGTGAAGGTTTTGTTCTTGTTTTTATTTTAGCAGTGCCTGGGAGTACGAATCTCTGGGCAGCTAGTGATAGCGAGCCATGGGATGGAGGGAATGATCCTGCCTGACCTGAAGGCAAGGAATTTACAGGACTGGTAGGGGAGACTTCGTGCCTGCTGGAAAAATTTCCAATAGCTTGTAACTAATGTAAAATTTATGACCAGCCCTGTGGAAATTAGTGCTTACGTTAACAGGCTCAGGCAGCAAAACATCAGCTAAACTTAGCTCTGGCTAGCTGATAAAGTTTCTTGATTGGCCTGGAAATGTCTCCAGTTTGAAGAAATGTAGGATTTCGGCCCGTTTTGCCGGCCATTCGTCACCTCACAATGGTAGTGGTATGTTCATTCATTCAACAAACATTACGAACTTACTTGCCAAGCATTCATTCTGGCAACAAAGGTGAATTTGGGCCCAGGGGTACGTGCCCAACAAGGCAGACAGTCCCTGTCCTCTGAGCTAATGGGGTTTTGGCCTCGAATGGTGCCAGTAGGCTGAGGGGGGCTGCAGTGGCAGTGCTGGGCGCGGGTGCTTCTACTGGGCAGCTGTCCCCTGGGGGTGCACGGCCTCGGAAAAGGGCATGCAAACAAGGCAGGCTGAAAGGTAAGGTCGGAAGAGAGCAGGTTCTGTGGGGATGAGTCTGAGCCGTGAACACTAACGACTGCCCTCTGCCCCCTGTAGCATGGACAAGGACAGCCCGGACATCCACCAGGACCTGAACGCCCTCAAAACCAAGTTCCAGGAGATGCGGAAAGTCATCAGCGCCATGCCTGGCATCCACCTGAGCCCTGAGCAGCAGCAGCAGCAGCTGCACAGCCTCCGGGAGCAGGTCAGGACCAAGAATGAGCTTCTGCAGAAGTATAAGAGCCTCTGCATGTTTGAGATCCCCAAGGAGTAGACGAGGCCGGCTTCCAGGAAGGCCCGGGACAGAAGCGGGAGAGCACACGGCCTCCCTGACTCCCCCGACCAGCGCCTCGGAGTCCAGCTGCGAACTCTGTGACCCGGGGCTGCTGTAGGTGCTTCCGGAGCCGAACTTGGCATCGACTGTGTGGGGAGCCAGCGCTTGGGCTTGGCATTGTTGGGGCCTCCTTGTAGAGGGTGCGTCCATATGTCTAGATGCATAATAACCGGAGTGCCTGCTGGTGGAAGACTGTTCCTGGAGGCTGGGGAGGGGGCCGGGGATGCCGCCCCTCTTCTGGGGAGGGGGCCATCTGCTGTGCATTCAGGCTCCGCGGGCAGAGCTCTGAGCGCAGGAGGAAAGGAGGCGGCTCCTCTTTGCTTCCTGCCCTCCCCCCACCCTCTGCTCCCACCCCTGAGTATGCTGCACCCCGGGTGCTCACTGTTCTGCGACAGCAGTGTCATGAGACATAGGCATGGGAGTCCCTGGACCAGCTGGGTCTGCACCCCCATCGCACGCATTTCAAATGCTGAAAGAAACCCGGCAGAGGAAGAATATTGTTTTGCAAGCTGGCAGGGTGGCTTCCTTCCTCCTCAACCCCCCTGCCCCCCCAAATACTTTGTCTCTTTTTTATGTTTGAGCCAGTGAATGAATGGAACTGTGCCGTGGGGGGTGTCAACCCAGGGGAGTGTCAACCCAGAGCCGGGCAGGCGGCCCCTGTCTCCAGCTTCTTTGCCGCCTACATGTTCTTGCTACTTTTAGCTCCTCCTCCCATTGTCTCCTGCCCCCTTCCATCCGCTCATCCAGCCACTTCATGCTGGAGGCTGACCAGACCCCTTTGGACCCACGCTGCGTCCCATGGGCGGGAGGGCTCCATCGTGTCTACACAGGCTTACTCCTGTTCCCAGGGGACCGGACCTTGCCTCTTAGCGGTTCAGATTCCTGTTGTCCTGGTTTAAATAACGAGTCTCCCCTCTGGCCTTCTCACTTAAGAGCCAGCCGCGCACCCTCGGGCTGCACCCCAGATAGAGGTGATCCTGACGTGCCCTCGGTGACGGCTCCGCTCACCCATCACCCGGGTGCGACAGTGCCGTTTGGGGTCCGTTCTGACACCGTGTGACAAACCACGCCTGCAGGTTCAACGGCCCAGTTCTGCTTCATGACGCCCCTCTCTTGTCCTCCCGATTTGTGGGCCCCTCCCTGGCCTGTCAGACCGAGCCCTTCCCCTCGCCCGTTCCTGTCGAGGCGAGAAGTAACTGCGTATTGTTTAGGTCTCGAGACGGGCACGTAACCTGCCCAGACCAAGTCAGGGGCTTAACAGATGCCCGCCGATTGACCTCATTGGCAGCAAGACCGGGTCGGAGGTGTTGTTCGCAGGGGTTCCATGTGTGCTGACCCGCAGCCACCTGTCAGAGCGGGGCTGGCGCAGGGGGAGCGCGGGACGTGTGGGGGGGGGGACCTGGCTTCAGTGGCTTCGGACAGAAGAGCGCGCTCTGAACTGAAGCGGGCGGCCGCGCGGTAGGCCAGCCCACCCTGGGACTGTTACTTAACTGAATCAGCTATGTCCTTGACATTTCAGAGTCGCGTGGGGGCCGGTTTTAAGGCTCTGACCAAACGGGAACCACGAAGTACATAGAGATACAAGACCACCGGCCCTTCTGCAAGGCTGAAGACCTCTTCCCGGGGCCGAGGGAGACAGAGCCTTCCCTGTACTCCACGCTTTGGACTGGTGACATTCTTTGAGAGTATAATTAAAAGAACTTGTGCTCTGCTCTCAGGACATCTTGGGTTTTGTATGGAGAAATCCATCATAAGATGTCCCTCTTGCACAGTTGAAAGGAAGATGTTCGTTTTGCTCAGGGGAGAAAGAACAAATTGTGGGAAGCCCCGCTGTGCACCTCCTTCCCTCAGCCCACACAGCAAAGCCAGCATGGGAAACAGGGTAACTGTCCTCGGGAGTGACCTCTGTCCCCAAGGACCCAGTGGGCCTGGTGGGTCATCCTGCCCGCCTGTGACTGGCCCCCCAGGCCCAGGGGTGAGTTCAGCACCCAGGGAGCAGCCCTCATAGCACAGGATGGAAATCCCTCCCTGAGACAACACGAAACTCCTCCCGGGGCCGAGCACCCTTCGAAGCCACCTGTTAGGGGGTTACTGGGTGGAAAGCACTCGTGCTAAGTGCTTTGCAAACACCTCGCTTACTCCTCACAGCACCCCCACGCAGAGGGCTATTCCGTGGGTGAAGGATTGGAGGCTTGGCAGGTGTCACTTGGCCCCAGCTTGCACTTACAAGTGGCAGAGAGCTGGTTCCCGAGTCAGGAATGGGTGCCCTCGACTGCCGAAGAGAAGGAGACACTGAGGCAGAGAAGGTGCTGGACCTACTTCCAGGGCGGCAAGTGCTTCCTGTGGCTGGGGGGGCGGGGGTTGAGCTGTCTGCTGACAGCCACGTGGCAGACCCTGCGCAGGAGTCAGGCGACGAGGGTCCTGCACGGGCCTGACCGGATTCTTCTCAAGGCTCTGTTTCCCTTGTGAGAGCAGGACCCTAGTGACCCCTCAAGCGGACTGCGAGTCGCAGGTTTGGGGCCTCGTGTCACCCGCCTGGAGTGAGTCTGGGCACAGCCTGGAAGCCCTTGGTGGCTGGAGAGATGCAGCTCTAGGAAAAAATCTGGATCCCTTTCTTGTCCTGGCTTTCTGAGGAGCCGTTCCAAATTGGAGAGGGCTTTAGTCCAATCATCTGCAGGTTTTTTGGAGCATTTTCTCCCAGGCCATGGGGGGCTGAGGCCATTTTCAGAATGCCAGTCTGGGGAGGGTGAGTCGAATGCCCCAGAAGTAAACCCCCGCCCCTCCCTCCTCACCCTTTGGCCTTCCAGCCATTTCTAAAAGCAAAGCAAGCGTATGGCTTTCTGTTTTAAATTATTTTATTTGGTATTATAAAAAAAAACAATAGCAATAACTTTAAAGACTGTCACACACACAGTACAAACAGCTGAGTAAGAGTTTGTTCATGTCCATGATGACCTCAGAACTATTAAAGTGCAAGTTGTGTTTTGTTTTCCTTTGTGCAATTTCACACACACATGTAAACAAGTCACTTGGCTATGATCTGACCCACACCCTCTTACTATTCTCAGGAGGGCAGAAGCTTTCCTAAGCTGTCATGGTAACCCAGAATTACAGACAAGTTAATGCCCCATTTGTCCCGCCTAGACCGTCCAGGGGTCAGGACAGGTTTCCCAAAGCCTAACAGAGGCTGATTAGCTTACACCCCCTCTTCCCCCCATTCTTGTCTTTGTCACAAACAAGACAACGTCCCCCTCTGCCGGGCCTGTGCCCCCAACCCGTGGGGGTGGCCGGCGCCCATGGGGGACGGGGGGGGGGGGGGGGGCAGTCCCGGTCTGAGCCAGTTCTCTTCCCTTCCAGAGCAAAGGACCATCCCTTAATCGCTTGCGCCCCCCTAGTGGGCGCGGGGATGGAAGATGTCGGTCCACGCGCGCGAAGCCCAGGGCTGGCCCGGACGTCAGACGTGACTTTTCCAACAACAACGTCCTCTTTAGGTTCTGCCGCCGGCGCGGGGGGCTGGGGGTGGGGGTAGGCTCCTAGCTGATGACGCAGCGCTCCTTGTCCTTGGCCTGGCTGCCGCCGCTGGCCTTCTCGCGGATGTACATGAGGTCGCTGTGCACGCTGGGCCGGCGTGCGAAGGGCGCCACGATGCCGAAGGCGTCGCCGGGGTCCCCGCCGCCGCTGCCGGCTCGCAGCAGCTTCTTGTTCCGCAGCGCCTTCTTGTGCAGCACGTCGCAGTACTGCACGGACACCTTGCGGTGCAGGTCCGGGCTCATCTCGCTGGGCAGCTTGGCCATGGCGAAGAGCGCCCGGAACATCTGGTCCAGGCTGCTGTTCTTCTTGGCCGAGATCTCGAAGTAGGCGCAGCGCTGGGGGTCGTCGCCCACCAGCTGCTCGATCTCGCGCTGCTCCACCTCGCGGTAGAAGTCCCGGTCCCCCTTGTTGCCACAGATGACCAACGGCACGTCCACGTTCTCCTTGGTTTTGTTCTTGAGGCAAGACTTGGTGTCGAGGATCTGCTGCTTGAGCCTCTGCACCTCCTCGAAGGAGTCCCGGTTGTCCAGGCTGAACACCAGGATGAAAACGTCTCCTACGAAGGAAAAGAAGGGGCGTTAAAGGAGCCGGGGAGGACGGCGGCCAAGGGGACAGCTGAAGTGGGACCGACCGGGGAGCGCACGCCCCGCCGCCAGGCGTCGGGGCTCCAGCCGCCGCGCGCGGGGCGCCCCAACTTCTCTCCGCGCGCCGTGGCGCACGGGGGCGGGACGTGGGGTCGCCGGGCGCCCTCGGACCGGGGGTCCCCATCCCCCGCCCCAGTGGCGCAGCTCGGGCCCGGCCTCCCGCTCACCAGTGAGGATGGAGAGGCGCCGCATGGCGGGGAACGGGTGGTTGCCGGACGTGTCGAGGATGTCGAGCTGGTAGACCTCGCCGCGGATGGAGTAGAACTTGCGGTGGAAGTCCTCGATGGTGGGCGTGTAGGCGTCCTCGAAGCGGCCCGTGAGGAAGCGCGACACGATGGCCGTCTTGCCCACCTTGGACGAACCGAGGATGACCATGCGGTAGCAGTTCTTGGCCGGGATACTCAGCTCCGAGTCGCTCGGGCACATCTTCTTGATCATCGCGGCCAGTTTCATTTGGCGGAGGGCCGCAGGGGCGGGAGCGGGGCCGAGAGAAGCGCGGAGAGCGGCCGGGGGCGCGGAGCTGGCGCGGGGCTGCGCGGCTTGGGGGCGCGGAGCGGGCGCGGGGCTGCGCGGCTCGGCGGCTGTGCTCGAGGCTGGGGCTGCGGCTGAGTTCCGGGTCGAGCTCCTCTCCGCTCCGGTACTCTCGGACCAAGTCGCTCGCTCTGGTTCTGTGCGCCCGGAGGCCGCCCTTATAAGCAGCCAGAACGGCCGCCCCGCCCCGCGCCCTCCCAGCCTCCGTGCGTCACGCCCCGCGGGCCCCCGCGCCTCCTCCCGCGACCTCCGCTGGCCGCCGCTGCTTCTGCCCGCCGCGCGCGAGTAGCAACTGAGTTGGGGTCCCGCTGGGGCAGAGGGCGCGCGGACCCCGTTCTCCACGGCACGCGGCTCGGCGGCCGCAGGGGCGTCAGGGTTGTAGTTCCTCCAGTGGCTCTGACTCTCCGCGCCTTGGCAAGGACCTCACCCGCAACACTCACACACTCATACACGCACTTTCACGCTCACGCTCCTTTTCTTGGGGCCTAGGTTTACCCAGAGAGTAACAACTGTAATCTCGGCACAGCAGGAGCGTAATCGCGGGTGTTTACCAGGGCTCGGCACCGTGCACGGGGCCTTGCATACCTCCCTTCTCTCCTCGGTCCCGAGAGCGAGCCCGCGCGGCAGCGCCCTACCGGTCCGCAGGCGCGTGCCTGCTCCCCGGCGACGGTGTTAGCGCCGAGGTCGGCGCCGCGCGCTCCGGCCACCAGAGGGCAGCAGAGGCCCCGCCGGCGGCGCCAGGAGGCCGCAGGCACCGCTCTCCGGGGCTGGAGTGCGGGAAGAGCCTCCAGATTGGGGTCTGGTGAGGTCCGGCCTTGGGCTCAAGGCCGAGACCCAGCAGGAGCCGTCCCCCGCCCCGCGCTCTACGGCAGGCCTCGGCATCTCCCTTCGCCCAGCCAGAGATGCTCTGAAGCTTGCCAAGGCTTTCAGTCAGGGGCTGGCCCCATCCTTTTCCTGGGCGGCACCCCAAGGACCAGAGACTTGCCCTTGCTTGCTTGCTCAAGGCTGGACCAACGTGCCGTCCTCCCTGCCCCATAGCATTTTGTCCCTCAGGAGTCTCTTGGGCCAACAGTCCCATTTTGCAACTGGCGGGGGCTGGGTCTCAAAGCCGGTGTGAGTGAGGAAGCCTGTGGCTTGGGGTGCCTGGGTGGCTCAGTCCTTAAGCCTTCATGATCTCGGGATCCTAGGATCAATCCCCGAGTTGAGTCCCCGCTCAGCGGGAAGCCTGCTTCTCCCTCTCCCCCTCTCTGTTAAATAAATAAATAAAATTTTAAGAAGGAAAGAAAAGAAAACAAACCAAACCACGGACTCAACGACCCATGGGCTTGCAGCACCGTGGGTGGGGGTGCAGGGCGTCAGGAGCCAAGACCCGAGGCAGCAGGTTGATCAGTAGTCTGGCTGGGGTTGGTGGGCTCAAAGGCCTGGAGCACAGTGAGAAGCCACAGATCCTCACAGCAAAAAGCGAGGCTGTGCTCGATTTGGGAGAAAGCCGGGGAGCCATGAGCTGGTACCAGCCACCCATCCGCACAGGCCTTGGTGTTCCAGCCAGTGTCAGGGCCCCCAGCCTGCCGCCCCCGCTTTGGCACAGGACCTGTGGCTCCCAGACTCCATCTTAGCCAGACCCTCTAGGACAGGCCCTCCCGCAGAATGTCACACCCGCTGAAAGTGATGCTGGGGGAGGGTTTATTTGGGCCACGCACTGTCCTAAGTCCTTCTTTCCAGCAACCTTGAGGAGTTGGAATTATTACTGTCTGTATTTTACAGGTGGAGAAACTGAGGCAGGGGGCATGACTGGCCAGGGCCCACAGGAGGTAGCAGCAGGGCTGGGGCCTGAACCCAGGGGGCTTGTGGTCCTGGCTCTTACCCACCCATAGTGCCCCTCGTATAGCTCTGTTCCGCACTGTGGGATATCCATGCCCCCTTTCTCAGAGCACACCCCTCAGATCTCCCTGCCCCTCCATACCTGTCCCCAAGCATCATGTCTACTGTTGATGAGGTGTTTCAGAGGCACACCTCACATGATGAGCCCCCAAGAGCTTACCATTAGGCTCTAATTCTTGGTGTCACTTATGCAGGAGTTGTGTGACAGGCCAGCTGGGCTGGGTCTTCCCCACCCCTCTTGACCCTGCTGTGGCTGCTCTCCCTGCATTCCCCATCTGAGATGAGAAGGAACTGAGCCGATGCCAGCACCCAGGGCCGCTGTGGACGGTGGTGCAGGGCGTTCACTGCAAAAAGGAACCAGACAAGGACGCAAGCAGGGTCTGATCATGGCCTGAGCCTGCCTCACCCCCAGACGAGGGGCCCTCCTTCTGCCTCTTGTGAAGGCACAGTATGGGCAGCTGGGCTCTCTGAAATACAATGGCTTCTGGCTCCTTCCTGATGGCCTATGCCAGAGGGCCAGAGTGAATGTGGCCTCCAGTCCTGAGAGGATTTGAACCAGCTCTCCCTGGGGAGACCCAGTGGGCTGGGCCCCAGCCTGGATTCAGAGCCTCCCTCAAGGTCAGGGTCAGCACTGACATCATGGCCCCCGGCCCAAAGCGCCCGTGGCAGGAACTGAGCCCAGCTTGGGTTCTCAACCGCAATTACCAGTCCCTTCTGGGAGTGTCACCCCACCTCACAGATGCCAGGTTGTAAGATGTGTCCTCCCAGGTCCGCCGAGTTAATCCCTGAGTGCGTGTGTCATTCATTCCCCAAACAGATGTCCCCACAAAACAGCCTGTACACCTGCCCAGCCCTGTGGGCGGCCTGGGGGGCCTCACTGCCAGGGGAAGCCAGCTCCGGTGATGTGTGCTAGCTTGGGATGTCCCGTCTGGCTTTCTCTGAAGGCATCATTCCATTACAAACGAAACCCACGGTCATGCTTGTGTAGCATCCAAACTTAAGAAAGGAACAGAGCGGAAGAAACCAGGTGCAGGACCCCCCCCCTTTCTGCCCACTCCCCAGGACAGTGAGGCCCACTCTGAGGGAGGCATCCACACACACACCCCCCCGCCACACACAGGCACACACACAGGCACACACTCCTTCCCTGCATTCCCACCACCCACGCCCCAGCAGCCGGGAGCATTGTTTTCATGTTGTCCAGGTTAACAATAGTTACAAACGATTCTGTTTTCTGGGTGTTTGGGCACAAAGCAACAAACAGCATCTGTGGGGCTGAGCCTCCTCCTACATGTTATTTACTTGCAGCGCTTAGAGGGGAAAGGGAACTTTAAAAATATTTACCAAGTGTTGAGGGCCCCTTAGAGGGTGGACAGCTGGCCCCCAAGGCAGGATCTGGCTGCAGCAGCCGGATCTGGATCTGGTGGTGAAAAGCAGTTTAGGCGTTTCCTGAAAGCCCCCTGGGGAGAGCACCGGGCGGTGGAGGTGAGTGGACACTTCCCGCAAGAATGCACATGTCCAGGTGCCGTGGCACCAGCCAGAGCCCCGTCCCCACCACAGCCAACACCTGAACGGGAACACGGTGACGAAGAGCTCGTATTCCCGACAGGCTCCCCTCATCACGCCCAGGTCACAGCCATCTTTCAGTTTCCTCTTCAGTGCTGAGCTCTGCTCCCATCATAACAGATCCTCACAGGGGAGCCCACTCAGCCCACGGCTCCGGCCCCGCCCTGGGCCCCTCCTCCCACCGCCATGTGGACCCATGGGGCAAGCTGCTTGGAGCTCCTCGGTTCTGCCCTGACAAAGCCTTCAGGAGGCCAGCGTATCCTCAAAGGCAATGTGCGCAGAGGTCCTTGTGGAGGAGTGAGCTCCCTGTTCCAAGGGGTGTGCAAGTAGACACAGAGAGTGAAGCACTGGGTAAGATCAGACTAGATGCCTCTTGGGGCCTATCAAGGCCTGAGATAGACTCTGCATTCCAGAAATCAAAGAAAAGAGCTCAAGGAGTTCCATGGGTAATGAAGGAGCCATCCAGCCTGCAAAGCCTAGACACCTGCTGCATACACAGACAGGCATGAATATCACGGCCCTGTTATAGGGTCGGGGGGTGGGCACTCTGAGAGCTGCATGGACAGGTGGGGAGTCTTCGTGGTGAGGGGAAGGCCTGGCCTGTGTCCTCAGAGGGCTAGGGGCCTGCAGATAAGGCGGGGGCCCGGAGGAGGGGCAGGCCCCTGCAGTCAGGCTTGACCCACAGGCCCCAGATGATCACATGGCCTGTTCCTCGTGGCGATGAGGCTCACAAGGAATTAGGAGAGAAATGTCAGCGTTAACCAGAGATGCTGAGTTCAGCCCAGGAGTGTGGGGGGAGACTTGGGTGCTGGGCCCAGGTCCTCCGGTCCCACCCAGGAAGCCCCATCCCAGGGCCCGGGGAGCCCGCAGCTCTCTTCAACTCCTCCCCTCTTAGCGACAGAGAGAGGGACCGTGAGCTTGGGGTAGCACAGACCTATGCCTCCTGGACAAGTCACCTAGCCTCAACCACCAAACGGAGGTGATACCCGCCTGGGTGGTCGTCTGGAGACACCAGCGCAGGGCAGGGACCCAGAGCAGCTGCTTGCCAAATGTCTGTGGTCCAGCCCAGCCCGGCCCTTCCCCTCCCTCCACAGGCTCGGGCACTGCTAGCAAGTCCAGGGCAGCACGTGAGGCCTCACTCCTTCCTCAACCACAGCGCCTTCCCACAGCCCGCCCCCACCGCATGGCCACCTTCAGGGGCATGCAAGGTCCCATCCAGACACAGACCCCCTCATAGGCCCAGGGGTTTTGCAATGTGACTGCATCTGGACTTTTCCGATAACCCTCAGATCACTCCACAGAGATGGTCTGTCTCCAAGGCCAGCTCATCTAGCGTGGACCTGGTGGCCTGGGGTTCAGAGAGCATGAGGTCACAGCCCAGCTTTCTGTGAATGTGGTCATGCCCCAAGGGGCACCAACTGGGCAGACGCACTGGTCTGACCCCCAGGGGCCAGACACCTCATGGCTGCTGCTCCTCCCTCACTCCATCCTTCAGAGCCTGCTGCTTTGGACCCCCATGCTTGTTCTGACCACAGGGCCTTTGCATTTCCATTCCAACTGCCTGGAATCCTCCAGTTTGCTCCCTCTGCTCATTTGGGTCTCAGCTCAAATGTTACCTTGTCAAGAGGGCCCTCCACCACCATGGCTAACAGGGGCTCCCACTCCCACCACGTACTTCTACATTGGTTTTAAATTTTTGCCATATTTTTTGCTCTCTGATCATTTACCTGGATGGCAGCTTTCAGAGGCTGGGAGCTCCATGGCACGTGCAGGTGTTGGGCTGCTGTGTGTATGATGCTACCCCTACCCTGAGGCTGGGCTGGCTCCCCAAAGAAAAGGGACAGAAGACGGGATACTGGGGCAGGGGTGAGGTGGGCCATACAGGAAGCCCAAACATCTAGGCAAGTCCCTTCCCTGCCTAGTGTGGATGGTGGCGCCCACCTCGGAGCTGAGAGGCTTCAGTGAGGAGAGCCGGATCAGCCTGGCCTGGAGCCCTCAGGGAATGCCCCACTCCCCACAGCCCTAAACTCCCTCCGCGCGCCCCCTCCCCCACCAAACAGAGAGCTGGAGGGGACGCTGGCATCAGGTGCCTTTATTGGTGAGTTAGGACGTACTGGGAGCAGCAGGGCGGGGGCGGGGACTCAGTGGCCAGACAACAGCATGTCCAGGGCCCCCAAGGCAGAGGTTTCCAAGGCACTGGAGTGGCCCTCGCCAGGCGAGAACACCGAGCAGCAGCCGGGGCCCCTCTCCCCACTGCAGGGCTTGGCACTCGGGGCAGGCCGGAGGCAGCAGATGCTCAGCGACGTGGCGCAGGCCCGGTCAGCTCCTCTTGTGGGACGGGGAGGCTTTCTGCTGGTAGATCTGAGCAGTGAAAGGCCTGTGGGCAGGGAAAGAAGCTCCGGTCAGGTCTCGGGGGTGATGCCACCAACCCAGGTCATGCACCCCGCTGGAGCGTGGATGGAGGGGGGTGTCTGCGTGGGGCAGGAGGCTTAGGCTCCCTCGGCACCTCCCGTCCAATACCCCCAGGCTCCACTGAGCCGGCTTGAAGCTTGCTGCTTCAAGCAGTGACGGGGAGCCCGGCCCAGCTTGGGGGTCGTGCTCCTCGTGTGTGACAGGTGTCTACTCACTCCTCGTACAGGATGGCAACCATGTAGACGAGGGCCACAACTGCGGTCAGCAGCAGGCCGGTGGGGCTTGCGTGTCTGCGGAGAAGACAGTGTCAGATGCCGAGGCCAGCCTTCTCTCTCAGAGTCCTGACCCACTGGCTGCTCGCTGACCATGTCTGGGCTGGCTCCATCCTCAAACGGGGGCCCACACCCCTCTTCTCACGCCCCTGGTCCCCCAGCTCAGGACACAGCAGGGATGAATCAGGAAGGAAAGAATGGCCTCTCAGAGTCGCCCGGTGGCCAAGCGGGTCCTTTTCTGCATAGGGGGCTGTCCCAGGGGACCTGCCCTTCACTGACAGCGTCTTCGGGCTGTCTTCTAGAAATGGGTCTGGTGTCCCCAAGGGCATGTGGAGTGTCCAGTGGTCCCTCTGTGGGCTCCCTGCTGGAAAGGCCTGGGGGCACCTGCTGTCCAGCTGTGGGCCCACCTTCTAGCTCCCTCAGATCCCTGAGGCTCCACAGGGGCTGGGCTGCAGCATCTGGATGGCCGGGAGGAGAGAGGGAAACGGGTTCATGGGCCCCTCCCAATTCTGTGGACTCTGTTCGAATCATCCCCCAGGGCCGCGTGGGCTGTCTGCCCCTCGCCACAGCCAGGGGAGATGACAACACCTAACAGAGACCCCTCTGGGGCTGAAATGAAATCTGCTCTCCCGGAGCTTTACTCACTAGCCCTGGTTTGGTTTTCTAAAGCGAGCAGAGCCTCAGCACTCAGAAGTCAGGCACCCCAGGAGCTGGGGAGGAGGTGGGGAGGAGGTGGGCAGCAGGCAGGCTCCCACCTGGGTGGACCTGCCAGCAGCCAGCTCAGGAAGACAGGGCCGGGGATCTATAGCCAGTGTCGCTCAGACCAACCCCTGCACCCCCACACCTGGCCCTGGCCCATGCACCGAGCGGGCACCCCCTCTCCATCCCACGCATGTGAAACTCCACCCCTTTCCAAGTGCTGCCCCGCTCTTGACCTTGACACGCTAACAACCCGGTGTGGAGAGGATCATCTCCTTCTGCAGATGGGGAGACTGAGGTCCAGATGGAGCCACATGCCTGACCCTGAGCCCGAGGCGGTGGCAGGTCTGGTCCTACGGAACCGGCGGCACACCCTGGGGACGGGGTGTCCCACTCAGGCGAGGGAGCTGAGAAGGTGAGACCTGGACGGAGCAGGAGGCCCCGGTGCCTCGTGGCCCCGGGAATCCTGATGCCCAGGCCCACTGGGGGCCCAGCACACCAAGCAGCTCCGGGAAGCCCCATCCATGGGGCCCCTGGTGGAGGACAGCATCTGGCAGCCCAGGTAATGGCCCTTCTCTAACGTCTCTCAGATGCCGGGCCACGTCCTGAGCCACAGAGGAGGCCCTCTCTCATCACCGTGTGGTTGATGTCCTCCTGAGGGGGCCTCTGGGAGCCCAGGCCTCTCTAGGGCCTCATGTTCCTGAGAGCCATGGCCCAACAGCCCTGAGGTGGAGGTGACATCGCACTCAGGCATCAGGCACCCCACTGGGGCACAGAGGGGACCCACATGTGAGCTCGGCCTTTGGAGGGCCCATCTGAGCACAGAGGAGGCAGCTGGGGGTGGGGGGCTGGGCGGGAGCAAAGGGTTAGGGAGGGCTTCCTGGAGGAGGGGACACACAAGTTGGGTTTGGAAAGACTAAATGAGGGTGGAAATAGGAGAGAACAGCCAGTATGCTGGCAGTGGGTAGAGAAAGGAGGTCAGCGGGAAGAATCAAGAAGCTGTAGGGTAGGCTTCGGGGAGATGCTCAGTGGGGGCGGGGGCAGTGAATCTAGGGGTACGGACCCTTCTCCCTGGGATCCCGCTGCCCGAGTCCAGGCAAGGGGACTGTCTGGCCTGCAAGTGGGACTAGGGCAGGGGAAGACGTCCCGGCCAGACCCATAGATCCTCCTCCAGCTCTTGGCACTCAAAGCCCAGTGCTCCGATCTGGGCTGCCTTGAAAGGTGGGGGTTTCGAGGAAGGATCACGCTCCTGACATCCCACCATTTGAGATTCATTCCTTTGTGTCCTGTAACTTCCTGGTGTCTGGGAGCGCCTGTAACACTCCAGGCACGCAGTTTCACAAGTATTCAGTAAAAGCAGAACACTGTCTACAGGAAAACATCCCACGGAAGGAGCCCTAACATCCAAAATGGGCAAACAGAAAGCGTGCTGGAGGGGCGCACAGTTGGAACCCCAGAGCCCGCGGCACTCCCACTGCCAGCTTCTCACCCGAGGTCTCTGCACAGCCTGAGCCCTAGAGGCGCTGAGGGCCCACCAGCCCTCACATTCTAGTGCACAGCTGGCAGCTTCTGGTCTGTAGGCCAGAAATGGTTTTTACATTTTTTAAGTGGTTAAAAAAAAAAAAAAAAAAAAGGAACGGAGTATGACATGACCCACGGAAAGTACATGAAATTGAAATTTCCATGTCCATAAATGAAGGGGTGCTGGCTCCGGCCATAGTCCCTCCTTTACCCACTGTCTCCCGGCTGCTTGGGAGCTGCAGATGTGGGCCTGGGGGCCTCGCCTCTCCAGCCCTTCTGGAGGAAGTTCGCTAATCCCCCTGTTCTAGGATGTAGCTTGTTTCTGCGGAGAAGAAAGTCCCGGGGATCACCTCAGCCCCGCAAATGACAGAAGGCCGTCCCCGCCTCCCCAGGCGGCAGCCCACGGGGCAGGCCCGGTACTCACATGACGGCCCAGCCCAGGTAATTGGCCGTGCTGCCCCAGTACATGGGGTTGTCCAGGACGTTGAATGGGAATGTGGTCACTCTTGCCTCCTTGAGGATCCCGAAGTAATCGCCTGTGGACGAGGCAGGGCAGGACCGGAGGCTCACAGGCTGGCCACACCATTCCTGAGGGAGACCCCAGGGTGGGCACCTTGGGATCTGCCCTCCAGGAGGGTCCAGGCCAGCTGGGGGGCAGGTTTAACCCCGTCCAGGGACACCCTGGGTGCTGGGCCCACTCAGGCCACAGGCATGCAGACGCCTTCAAGGACCTTCCCACCCACCATCTGCTCCTCTCCCCTGCCTTTGCACATGCTGTTCCCTCTGCTGGGGATGCCCTTCCCTGCTCTCTGTCCAGCCAGTGGCTTTCTTCCTTCGGCATTTCTCCCTTAGCTCACGTCACCTCCTGAAAGAGACCCTTCCACTCTCAAAAGCAGGCCTGCCTGCTGCCCACAATTTCTGCCTGGGTGAGCGCCTCCCATGCGGGGGGAAATGAGGGGGTCCATTCCACTCCCCCACCCTGGACCACCCACCACCCAGGAGGTCAGCTCTGGAATTGTGGCCGCCAAGGAGCCCAGAGCAGCTGGTCACAGCGGAGAGTCAGACGGCCGACCCCAGCCTGGCCCAGCATCCGGCAACTCCAAAACGTGGCCACATGGCCTCCCCCCAAGTCCGCTCTAAGGGGCACAGAGGCACAGACGCCATGTCCGGCGCAGGCCCATGGGCAGCCTGCACGGCCGCGGGCACCGTGCTGCTCACGAAAGGGCACCGGCGCATCCTCCCCGCCTCCGCGCCCCAGAAATGCCTCTGAGCTTCATTGGAGACAGAAGTAGGGCAGCCGCAGGCGGGAGGAGTCCGCTATCTGGAGACAAAGGGCTCCAGGGGCACAGGAGGCACCCGGGAGGCTGCGGAAGGCTTTCTTCCCAGGAGGCAGGAAAGGGGCTGTGGGCCCAGAGGTGGATGGCACAGAAACCCGCTTTGGGGCTGACTCATGGGAGGGACCCAGCCACCGTGCCCTACATCCTGGGCTGCTAGGCTAGTCACCGGCTGCTCATCCTGACTGGCTCCCCCAGGCGATTCTCCCCCCAACAACCCTAACCTCCCACAGTGGCCCCTTCCCAGTTCTCTGCCCACATCTGCGCCACGCCTGTGTGCTGCTGGGCTACTCACCCTGGTCTTCAGAGGACCCGAGGCAGACAGGACAGGACCCCTCTTTTCTCCGTGGCCCTTCCTCCCCCACGACCCCAGCAGTGCAACCTCCTTGTCGCTGGGAGAGCTTTCCAGGTCCTCCTACCCAGCAGTGAAGCCTCAGGCCCCTGCCTGGCCTTCAGCGACACCTGTGACGTGGCCCCCACCTGACCTCCACCCCTGATCAGACCAGACCTCCACACACAGGCCCACCTGCCCGCCATCCTGGCCTGGAGCTTGTGGTTTGCTCCTGGGCCTCCCTACTGCCCGCCCCAGTGCATTGGTCCCTCCAGGCAGACCCAGGAGCTCCCAACGCCTCTTCCCACCTTCCCGCCTACTGCCCCTCTCTGGGACCTAGGTACCTAAAGCTCCAGCCAGACATGAGGCGTAACCTGCCTAGGGTCCCGCTGCTGCAGGTGGGCGACCGGCGCAGCTCCCACCCCCTGCACGTGCTGCTCCCTTGAGTCTCCTCTGCCTGCGAGCACAGCACCCTCAGAGCTCCCAGCTCTCCCCTGCAGCCTGAGTACCCCAGGCCCCAAGTGACTGTGGACGGAGAGGCCCCAGGCGGACCAGGAGGGCGCTGGGGACTGCCCCTGGCGCTGGAGGAAATTGAGGCCAGTTCGGTGAAGTTGGCCAGGGGCTGAGAGCAGGGAGGACCCAGGAAACCCTGACCTAGCCCATCGGAGGGGTGGGCACCTCCCACGTGCCCCCTCTCTGGGCTCCCTCCTCCTTTCTGTCCCTGTCCCCAAGATGGCCTTGCTCTGGAAGCCTCCCCCAGCTGTACTCCTTCTTGGGCAAGTTGCTGATGTCATAAGGACTAGAGCCCAAAAGCCCCTGAGCCATAGGCAGTGGGGAACGCAGAGCAGGGACAGTGGCGTGCCCCCAACCCCTACCCGTTCCAGACCTGCACCAGCCCTGGTTTGTGGCCTAAGGGCAGCAAATGGCAATGCCACCTGGCCTGGCAGCCAACCGGCCGGACGAGACAGGCCAGCCTCCCCAGCTAACCATGGACAGGCAGGGGCCTGCAGAAGCAAAGTGCCCAGAGCCTCAGACTTAGGGGCAAAGCAACACACCAGCCGGGCACCACCCCACCCCGGGACCCAGAGGGCATCTGCTCATGGCCCCCCAGCCCTCGGGGTCTTACCTAGGAAGGTCCCAGTGAAGCCCAGGGCGAAGAAACTGGAGAGCACAAAAGTGCTCCCCACTCCCAGGAGCGCGAGGCCCACACAGTAGGCTGTGGGGTTATCCAGACTTTCCATCTTGGGCTGGCTCAGCATGGCCTGTGTGAAGCTGTGCAGCAGGGGGAGTCAGGAGGTCACTGCCATGGACAGGGGTTGCCCTGCCCTTCCCCTCCCCCACCGCATCCCCCGGGTGACCCCCAGAACAGCCGATCCAGCGATCTTAGACTCAGAGTCCACTGAGGCTGGGCAGGTGACACCAAGCGAAGTCGGCTGCGGGTGGGGTGCAGAGGACGTGGACGGCACAGCCCTGCCCGATAGGGGCTCCCTCCAGCCCCAGCCCCCTGCTGCCAGCAGGGTAGTGACCACAATGAGGAACCTGGGACCCGCTAACATTTTTGGTTTTCAAGAAGCCAGAAGTCGTGACTTGTATTTAAAATCCCCTAATTATTAGAAACAGGTGAGAATGACAACCATGTTAGACTCTGCAAGGCCGTGGGCCAGGTCCAGCCCACCAGTTTGCAAACTCTGGTTCCTGTCTAGTTAGCAACCGGGACTTCAAAGGTCAGTGTGGCTCCAAAAGGAACGGCTGCGTGCCCCTGGCCGCACCTGTGTCCCCCTGCACTTGGCATATGCTGCACGGGCGGGTGGCATCCCAGGCCCCTGGTGGACCCAGTGCCCCTGGGAAGCCTGGGGCACGCTCACCCCTTCTGTGGCCCCCATGTTTCCTGTGCCGGGCTGGCCACATCACAGGTGGCCCCTCAGAGGCTCCCTATGTCTACCCCCCACGTCCAAACGGCCCTAGCAAGCTCCTGTCGGGGCCAAGCCATCGAAGGCCTTGTTGACCAGCAAGTGACAAAGGCAGGTGACCACGCTCGTGGGTTTGGAGGTTCAGGTTCCCTGCGTGGCTGCTGCAGGCGGGACTCATGCTGACGCACAGGAGCGCGCTGGGCCTCTGCCTCGCTAGCGGAGAACTGGTGCTCGCGGGAGGGCACACTCAAAGGAAAGGGTATTTGTGGGAGCAAGGGCACACGTGTACTGCTAACATTCACTTCCCATTCCCCCATGATCGTAACCCTCAGAGCACGGAGGTCTCCTGCCTCTCGCAGGACAACTGCTTGTACCCACTGTGTACCAGGGACCTCTTAGCAGGGCCACTCACTGTCTGCTACCCACCCGCACAGCCAACCACCTGGCTAGCCTCTACCCATCC